CAGAGTGGTGGGTTTTTTTTGTTTGTTTTTTTAATGTTTATATTTACAAGACTATCCATGCTAACTTCAGTTAGTCGTCTATTATGTTTTGCGTTATACATTAGCATTAAGCTAGCAACCTGTCAATGGTTTAATTGAACATTCGTGTGTCAGCTGGAAGTGGCAAATAGTGTTTGAAGCAAACACGCTGGCTCTTATTTGGAGAACTGTGCAAGTAAAAAAAGGAATGCGTTCAAATGTGTATTTTGTGTGGAGGTGTTTTTGAAGAAGTTAAAATGTGTTTGAAGAGTGTAGGAGGAGTAAAATTAATTTTTAAATTCTTCATTGTAGATTTTTACCAATTGCTATTGGGACTGGAACAACCGCCGGCAACGAGCTTTGCTGCAATTCGAAGATTGAACCACTGATGAATGGCGTCACAATGTCGTAGATGTGACGGCCAATCAGAAATGCCGTTTCCTTTCTAATGAGCTTTTATAACGGCAATTAAATTTCCAGGTAAAATAGGTACCTTTGCTCAACACAAGTTGTTTTCCAACCGAGCGAATCAATACTGACCTAAATAAGAGCCCACATATAGAAATCTTTTATGATAGACATGGGCTCAGGTGTTTGTATAAACGTATAGCGATTTCAAGCGAGCGGTAAGATCCCTCACTGCACCAGCAGTGGAGAGAAACAGACTCATTACGTTGGTTTCGCTGTCTCTTCTGGCACTTGAAACCGGTATCCTGTGCCAGTCGTCAATTTGGTTAAGTTCCTGGTGGGCGTAATGAATGCTCGCAGAACTAATGGAAAGCAAGCAATGAAATAACACAAAAAGAGCACAATAGTCGTCTGTGAGCCAATGCGCGCGGTCGCGTTGGCTAGCATTGATGCTACAAGGCTATTATGAGCCCTACTATACACTGCTGTGGCTCATTAATAAATGAGAAAAGAAGTTCTGTGTGACTATGAACCGGTGGGACACTCACATGCGAACCAAACCATTTAAAGGGTTTTCAAAAATCCTTCCACCCTTAGTGTTTATATGTGTGCGCGTGTGTGTGTGAGTGAGTGCCAACTCGCACAGGAGCGAGCAGGCTGACTGATAGAAGAGGTGGCAAAGCGGCGCGAGGGAATGGAGATGTCGCATGGAAATGACCATTTATCGAGTCAAAAAAAAACCCCTATCATGTCCATTTTTTCTCATGGAGCGATAAGTCGATTTAGTACTTATTGTGACAAGCCTAACTGTAAATACAGTTTTGTTTTTTTACCTAGCTATATTACGAGTTCATCCTATGGCTAAAAAGTGAAGCGTGGAGAGTCTCTGTCGCCGAATGTGTCGTCACTTTCAAATATCCACACTCTCACCCGTATTTCTCTCTCTCTCTCTCTCTCTCTCTCTCTCTCTCTATTATCTTTCTATAGTCTACCTGTAGCGACAGCAGCCATATCTCATATGTGGCACCTCAAAATGTTGTTTCACCATAAAAACAGCAGGTACAAATTGGTCGATGGCGAAGGTCAATCTCTAGGCTTGCGGGGTTGAGTTGCAACCTAATCGGTTCGCAGTTGTCAAGTTCGGTCATGTTCGGCCGCATCGTTTGGCGTAGGCAGCTAAAGAGATGAGATGCTTGTTGGTTCATCCTCAGCATGTGAGCAAATTCTACTGTGCCTGCTACTGCCAGTGAGTGTGTGCATGCGTGCTTTTGTGCAGATAGATGTTGTGCGCGCATGTGTGGATGGATGTTCGCATCACCTTACTGCATGGAAACTTGGCCTCAAGCCGGCCGTGTGCCCAATCTGGGCTGGTAAACATTCTGGATGGATGTCACTTCCTGCCCAGAAGCGTCAAACACAATATGAACTCATTTCCATCACTTCCTTTTCACTTGTAAGAACATGCAAACTCCACATAGGAAGGCCGAAGCCAGAATCAAACCCTCCGACTGTGCACTGTGAGGCGAACGTGTTAACCAGTTTTCCACAATACATTTTCACTCATGGAAGCAGCAGTCAGTTTATATGTGCTACAGGGGCATCCCTCAACACAAATACCACCCCCTCCCCGACTTCCATTTGCATCGACATTGCAGCTCAGCTTACCTTTTGCCTTTGACACGATAGCAGGGCTGGCGCATCTTGGTAGTACGCACGTATTTCTCCATGGTAGTACCTTTCTCTGAAAGTCTTTGAGATTTTATGTACTCACTTGTCAGCCATATTCTGAATGGTGATCTGTTATGAGGTTTTTTTATTTCCTTCGGCGAAATAAGTGTCTTGCCTCAATAAATGTTTGAAAGTACTGTGCTAGAATCCAGCGATTTGCATGCAAGCCATTAAATAAAAGTCAGTTATAGATACGTTCCAGTATTTAACTAAACTGCTCGACTTGGAGGAAAATGTTCTCTCGTTGCAAAGGCAGAAAGAAGAAATTGAGATATGGTCTCAGTTGTACCACACACACGAGACATGCACACACACACACACACGCACACACACACACACACACACACACACACACACACACACATCCAAACTTTCAGCATTGTTATGATAAATGTTCCTCTGTAAGGGTCCAAACGTCATCAAGTGATTACAGTATTCTGCTTCTACCCACACACTCTGTTCTCAAACGTGATCTTAGTTTCTGGGTTTTATCTTGGCTTTGTTTCTCTTTCAGTCATCATGAGATTCGTCAGTAGGAAGATTTGTTTTCAACTCCCGTTTATTCTCTCCCCCTCCTAAAAAGCAGAAGTTGAGAAAGATGCGCTCGCATGTGGAGCCAGCAGCTGTCCACTGCGTTAAGGAGGTTGCGTGGCATTGAGTTGATGGACAGGATCAAGACCTCCCGTTAGCACCTCTTCCCCTCCCCTGCTTCTGACTAATTATAACAGACGTGGAATATACAGAATTCCCGTTTTGCTGAGCATCTGCCTCGGAAGTGACATTAAAAAAAATCTCATCGCAGCACAGGGTTTGTCCTCCAATTATGTCTTGCGTGTTGAATTGATTTTCTTTCACGCTTCAAGAGGCGAGAGGTACCCCACGGACTGGTGGAAAAACTTCACATTCCCCGACAACGTACCTGAATTCGCAATGAATGACATTGTCCTATTTTTTTTAATCAAAACAGGAAGTGCGTGGCACATGAATGTATGTGAACAAGGTGCCACTGATGCATTATGAGAGCGTAAGTTCCAATGCATGTGCACCGCGTGAACGAACACACTGTGCCCCCGTGAGACCCGCGAGCTGAAACGCTGTGATGGAAAGCAGCCGCCGTGACAAAACGCATCATGGGTGCCACTTAAATTGAGATGAATATTTCAATGACCCAGAGGAGTGGAGGGCATTAAGTCAAGCTCAGGGGGTGGGGGCAGATTTGGCGCATTCCACTTTGCATGCCAGATCAGGGCGCTCGGGACGTCAAGTCCCAATTTCACTTCGGCGTGAATCTCCTCACATCAAAGCATAAGATCCGTTTTAATGCCACGTGTAATGTTCACGTGAAGCTAGTGACACACTGGAGCACTCTGTCGCGCTCCTGAAGCGTTGATAGCGGTTGTGGAATTCAATTTGGAGACACTGGGGTCACATGATTTGCCCTTCTCCCAAGGTCATCTCCAAACTCATCTGTATGTGTCCTTTGAGAAATGCTTGCAACGCACTGTTATGTCACGGGACCATCGGCCAACTTAAGTCACCTGGGGTATTCCTCCACATGCAGGGGTGCAGATGTGGGATTTTGGACCTGGGGTGGATGGGGACCTAGCTCATAATCAAAATAATCCAAAAAAAAATGTCTAGCTGATCAGCATTAGTTATACATGATGAAACTGACCACCTCTCTCTCCAAAACATATTTTAACATGTTTGTGTATTAACTGAAATATACTCAACACATTTTCATCCATAAAAATAGTGACGTAAAAATGTACATGGAATTCACATTTTGAACAAGAGCAAAAAAGTATTATTGGGATTTTCCTATCGCGCATACGTATGTTTACTTTTAGCGCGACCCAGGTTAAGAGTAAATGTCATTAATTATTTACAGTATGTCTGTGTATATTCTCCACCGTTTATTATGAGGACGTGCTACTCCTCAACATGACAGAACAATTAACTGCCACATCTTGTCAACAGTCATCGGCTATGATAGTCTACTTAAGTAGCTACCTTTTCCTTGGGACTTTGCCCTGGCTGCAAACCCAACATTGTATTAAAAAAAAAAAAAAAAAGTAGAAAAAGTAGCAATTTCCAAGGATATTTCGAAGTATATCCTTCAGTGATGCTAATGTTGAGTACATGCCACAACACATAGTTTCCTGAGGAGCAAAAGAGCCCCTATCCAGCCTGTTTTTTTGTTTGTTGTTTTTTTTTTTGTTGTTGTTGTTTGGGATCGTAAATCAGGTCAAAATCTGATTTGATTGAATTCTGAAGAAATAATCCGGGAAGAAAAAAATAAAAGTAATCTGTTCCAAAATCAGACGGGAATTAACTGGGGAGCAGCCCAAGGTGCACCGACCCTTGTGCTCAAAGTCAGCTGTGGATGGATGAATGTTTAAAATGGTTCCCATCATTAAAAAAAATAATAAATATTATATACCTATACAACCCATGTTTCACAATAGCAGTGATCATGGAAAGTGCAAGTCTTCACATTAAAGCAGTTAGATAATTCTATTTGCCATTTCCCCGACTTTATTTCTATTTTCAATTGCTGATTTCAAACTGACAATTCAAATGATGCTTATTTCAAAGCACACAGTTAAATATTTTCGCCTTATAGCGTGTGCAATGCCACCTCACCAACTGCAGCGCAGCTCATGACAGTATCTCATAAATGACGTGTTATTATTCGTGTTATTCAGCCACATCGTCCTGAGCAACCTAAACATTTTTTTGTTGGCCATTTACACGCATCTTGCATTAAGTTCCGTTTGTGTTCATCATTGTACGTTTGTGGTGGCATCACCCACGCAAAAATGAAAAAAAACAAAATACACGTGGAGTCCCATGAGCTGCAACGTCGTGAGATTACGTTTTACTAAATGGCATGGGCGCAGTTTAACCTTTGTGTTTTTGTGCATGCAACCTTTAGAAGTGCTCCAAAAAGCATATGATGTTTGGTCTTTTGGTGATTATTACGTTGGGACAGTGGGTGTTTTGCTTTGTTATCGAGTTCAGATCAATACATTAGTGAGATAGTGAGGGCGCCTGCGGGGCTGGCTGAGAGACTGGTGGAGGATTTGGGGAGACCTTGACGGAACTCGCGGGTGTGAAATGAGCTCAGGACTTGCTTGGAGAGAGGCTGACACGCGGACTTCGTGAACCTCGACACGACTTGGCAGACACGCTCGCGCACGTGACACTATTATTTGCATCCTGGGAAACGGGTGACGCGTGGATCCACTTGAAGGGAAAAAAAAAACATTGTCACACAGAGTGTGTGTCTGACACACGGACGTATAGAGCGGGTCTTTTATGGTGTAACGTTTGCGCAGCAGTGACACACGGGAGCCTATTTTGTGCCACAAAGGAGGACAGACTTCAGATCCACGCGTTGGATCTCCACACCATCTGACCCACACCACTGCTTGGAAGAAAATAAGAGAGAATGGGGCGTCCCGTGCCGGTGGGTGCCAGTGCGTAACGACCTTTTTCGCCCTCCTCGCTCCTGCAATAAAGCGTGTTTGTTCATCGGCGTCCTGCGAGCACAGCACCGTCGATGCACGACAGGCTCGCCCCCATTTCCTGTGGCCATGCCTGCACATTTGGAGCGGACGCGCGCGGCAGAAAAAGGCTCCGCCGGCGTCCCGAGCCGCAACGGTTACGCGCAAGCACGTGTCGTCCCACTGAGCCGCGACGCACAGCGCGCGTCGTCGTGGGTGAGGCTGGCGTGGACCCGCGCGCGGACTTGCATCGGAGTGGGCTGCGCGGCGTGTGCGCTCGTGCTGGCCGCGCTGCTGAGGTGCGCACAGTGGAACTGTGAGCTGTGCGCACTCCCGCAGCTGCAGTCGTGCAGTCACTCGCTCGCGGGCTGCCTCGCCGAACTGCTGCTCGCTTGCTGGGCTGCCCTCTCGCCCTTCCTCAGCCTCCTGTGTGCCTTCTTCTGGCTCGGCGTCTACCTGATTCGCTGCGGCGTGCTGCTCCCAACCGCCCTCTCGCTCCTCACCGCGTTCCACCTGGCGGAAGCGGCGGCGTGGAGCCTCCTGGACGGCCCGCATGAAGTAGCCGCTGCGCTGGTGCTCGCGTGCGCGGCCGGCGGCGCACTGATGCTAGCGCGCCTGGACCGGGGCACGTCCGTGGTCGTGGTCGTCAGCGTCGTGCGCGCCGTCTCCCTCTTGTCGCTGCACAAGCTTCGTCCCGCTTGGAGGCCGTACGTGGCGTACCTGCTGGGGGTCGTGGGCATCCTCCTGGCGAGGTATGCTGACAGGCTCCTCGCCGGCCAAGGGACACTCGAGGAGGGCTGCACCCCCGTGACTGGAGCCAAGGGAGACGTCCCCGCATTTAAAAGGCGCAGGAGGTCCAGTTCGGTGATATCCACAGACATGGCACATAGTCAGTCCAACAGCAAGTCACATCGCAGGACCTCTCTGCCATGCATCCAGAGGGACCAGGTAGGACCCCCCCCCAAACCCCCACCCCCAACACTCACCGTGACCCAAGTACACACTTTAACCGTTGAGCCCTGATTTTGCAAAGATTTTATTAACAATGATGCAGACTCAATTGTTATCGCCTTGTTATTAGCATTTTAATGTGATCATTTGTAATATTCACCGCCCATTTTCTACTACTTGATCTATTTTTGGACCATTACTTGGCGACGTTTTTAAACATGAGTAGCTTGTCTTGAGACAACATTTTTTTCCCCTCATCACGTTCACTTTATAGAGTTGGATTTGTTTGCATTCAAGACCTGAATATTGTCCATTAACTTGATCAATCAATTTGGCACATTGAACATGATTATCTATCGATGTATGTATGTGTATAAAATGCTCACAAAAATAAAGGGAACACTTGGAGTTACATTGAGCTGTTTCAGTGTTCCCTTTATTTTTTTGATTAGTGTGTGTTTATATACACACACACACACACACACACACACACACATACATACATACATACACATGCGCACATGCATAGTCAAACGTTTAGACAGTTTCTCACTCAATCGTAATTCGAAGTGTTCTAACTTGTGACTGGTCATTTATATATTGCTGCATGTACTATATGTATACATGTCATACTTGAAGTACCTCGATTTATACCATATGAATTCAGAGAATATGTTAACAAAGCTGTAGTAGAAGTTTGGTGTCAAATGGCACCCAAATCCTTATTTTGAAGCAGTGCTTTCCAGTGGTGACAAAAAAAAAAAAGAGAAACTGAGGGTGATTCCCATTAACTAATTAGTCCATTAAAAGGACACATATATTTATAACTTTCTTCCTCACTTTACGGAGGCTTTCTGTCCTCAAAATAGAAGAATGGTTGCGATCCGCATGCTGCCTCGTGCACACTCCTATCAGCTCCTGTGGATGGAACATCAGTGACTGTGCTGAGTGTTCGAAAGGAGGAGTTTTTTTGGTGTGATCAAAGCTGTGTGTGTGTGTGTGTGTGTGTGTGTGTGTGTGTGTGTGTGTGTGTGTGTGTGTGTGTGTGTGTGTGTGTACTGCAGGGCTGTCAGTCGGCCCACTTAGAGGTGCTCTAACTACGCTAGTTAGCACTTTAGTGGTCCTGTTTGTTTTTCTTTGTGGTCACACACACCCACCGAAACTCATATTTGATATTTTTGCGACAATTATTCATTTTTAACCGTATTATTTCGATCCAACTGCTGCAGTTTGACGTTTTAAGGTTTCAATCGACTTTGGTTGTACCGATGCCAGACGTCATATTTCTAAGCAGGTGTTACACCTGGCTGATTTTTCCACATACAGATATTTTTTAAAAGCGGTTATACTAGGCAATACTCTTCTGCCATACATTTATTTATTGACAGTGCACAAACGTGGTCTCTTCCCGCACCCACATAACTTAAACCCAACAAAAAAATCTTTAATTACTTCTGTCAATGCTTTTAAGACACAATACATCAGTAGTATATTTGATTATCGCAGCAGTCAAAACAGTCCTGAAAAAAAGACATTCCTTAATGTAGTGAGTGCAAGTTAAGCATTTTACTCCCAATGAGACGTTGCAAAGCTAATCCGGAGCGTTATGGAACAAGCGGCGTCATCTGCACAGCAATCACACGCCACATTTTGACTCACAATCTAGTTAAGATAATGAATCAGTTTTCCCCCCAACCAGCCCTGATGGATGAAGCGTCCCCGCGCACCCGGAGGCCTCTCATCTCAGTCGGCGGTTGACCAGTCACGACCTGCCTGTAATTGAGACACACATGGTCGACACATGCCGTCGTGAGCGTCTCTTGTCTGTGTGGTCTGCAATGTGTAAACAAGCCCAGAGTGACCCACGCTAGTCATCGCCTCGCTCACGCAGGGGCTCAGACGCACATCGGGGGGCTACAATGAGACTAGCACATGGTGAGAGGTGGCGTGAACTGTCAAACCTGAGTGTGTGTGTGTGTGTGTGTGTGTGTGTGTGTGTGTGTGTGTGTGTGTGTGTGTGTGTGTGTGTGTGTGTGTGTGCGTGTGTGCGCACTTCTCCTCTGTAGGAGAAAAAAGGTGTTTTATCAAGTCAGGATGTTTAAATGTAGCAGTAGGATATCTGCACTTTGTTGGCCTGATGGTATTTACATTATTGCCGAATACTTTTGTTTCCTTCTTTCGCAGACCTTTTCATAAGAGCACATCGGATTAATCGTTTCTGTCTCAAAACAGTTTACTTCAAAAATAAATAAAGCAACGAGGAATTTCCAAGTGCTGTCTTCCTCCCAAGCCTGCCGTGGTAGCCTCAGCTAGATACTTGTTGTGTTGCTATACACTTGACTGAAAACACATAAAATTGTGTCTTTTGCGGTTTATGTTCCACTCACGTTGATGCTTTTTCATTGGCAAACCCAGATAATTCTTGGTACTGTTGTAATACACAATCTCTTGCACTTTTCACTTTTTGGGGAGCCATACTGGAGAAAAAAAAAGATTCGTATTGGTATGTTAAATCCATGACGTACTGAGTGATTGATATAAGCTGTGTGAGAGAAATCACAACTGAGCTTTTCAAGTTTCGAGACTTTTTTATTTTTTGTGGTATGGTTTTCGTAAAGTTAAAAATAGTCTGTTTATCTGGCCACTCACCCGCATGTTTATCAGAAGCAATTCAAAAGTTTTTTTTTTTTGTGCTTATCCATTGTGTGACTGTTCAATAAGACACCTCAAGCCCAAAAAAAAGAACCAAGTGATTGGATTTACATGTTTTCTTATGGAGTGTAGAGCTGAAGTTTTCATATCACTCAATTTTAGTTTAGACTTTTTGGAATGTATTCATGAAAACCAAGGTTCCACTGTAGTGTTTAGTTTTTTTAATACAAAGTGACATCATCACCTACTTGCCTGGCATGCATAGTTTTTCTGGCAAGTCATTTCTTTGACTAAACTTTTCCTAATTGCTTTCTAGTTTGCTTTACAGTAGTAGGCACATTCCCCAACATTGGGCTCCTTCCAGAAAGTCGTGACTATCTTGGCTGATAGCAGCTAGCACGACGGACAAAGCTTCTTGTTGGTTTCAGCCAAAGTGACCGTTGTATGCTTATCAGCTGTGGATGACGAACAGCAGGAAGAGGTGCAAGCTCATGATGCGGATCTATTTTCGCAGCGTGCAAGGAAATGCTAGTCCACGGTTCTCTTGCTGTATACATATTAAGTCTGGGGGATAGGGCCTGAAATTGATTTCACCAAATAAATTGAATTCCTTCAGCGTGACCGTACACATTTTCATACAAACCTAAGTGTAAAAGTTAGAACCAAAGTGTTTCTGAATGGTTATAGAGACCCTTAGCAGAGCTGAATTCGTTAAAAAGAAACTACATAGAGAGAGAGAGAGAGAAAGAGAGAGAGACCCTGAGCAGAGCTAAATTCATGAAAATAAATAAAGGGGCGGCCCGGTGAGACAGTGGTTAGCGCGTCGGCCTCACAGTGCAGAGGTCGTGGGTTCGATCCCGGCCCTCCTGTGTGGAGTTTGCATGTTCTCCCCGTGCCTGTGTGGGTTGGTTTCCTCCGGGTACTCCGGTTTCCTCCCACATTCCAAAAACATGCATGGTAGGCTGATTGAAGTAGGTGTGAGTGTCAGCGCAGATGCTTGTTCGTCTCTGTGTGCCCTGCGATTGGCTAGCAACCAGTGTCCCCCACCTACTGCCCGAAGCACACCCTGTGATCCTTGAGGATAAAGCCGTTCAAAAAAATGGATGGGTGGATGGATAAATAAAAAAAGGACCCACTTGGAGTCACATTGCATTGTTCAGTGTTTGCGGGCGGGTTATTGGAGCATATCCCAGCTGACTTCAGTCAACATTTAGGGACGAACAACCATTCAGACCCACATCCACCCATATCCACATAGTCACCGAGGGGGAATCCCATGCTGCCTGCACAGTGAGGCTACTGTACCACTTTCACTCGCTGTGACGATTGTGTGTGTGTGTGTGTGTGTGTGTGTGTGTGTGTGTGTGTGTGTGTGTGTGTGTGTAACTTTTAGAGTGTATCTTGTGCCGATCTCAAAACTGTGCAAAATGGCGGAAATGATCACAACCAACATTGCTGACATAAATGATTAGTACAGTATTCCGCATTAACATATATTTGATCCTCCTGCTTCTAGCTGATGTATATGGAAACGTAATGATTCATTTTTGGTTTGTGGATGTGTTTTCCGTAGCTACATTGTAGCTGTTTATTTTCTCTCGAGACACTTACTTACCTGCTAATTTTTGTGTTCAAAGATGGTATCTCTCTGCTCCAGACAGACTGCTGTGAAAAGTGTACTGTACTCCCAAGCATTTCTACTGCTGTTTTGTGACTACATTTCTCAATAGCTTAGACTAGCTTATCATGACTTCTCTATCTGTTAATTACTTCTCGTGCTCCTTTTGTGCAATCAATACCTTTCAGCTGTTACGTATATGCTGCCACTGAGCTGAGGATCAGTGACTCAGAAGAGCGTCTCTTCAGTGCGAGGCAGTGTTTAGCTGTGCTAGCTAACCAACCACAGCTCGGAGCTAGCTGGTGCGGCATAAGATGTCATAGCACAGAGAATTCTCCCGGTAGTTCAAGAGCAGCAGGGAAGGCTACAGTCGTCGGATGGGTGACATGTTGCCCCAACAAAGTGGGACAAAAAGCAACAGAAAGTGATCAAGCAGGAGGCGAGTGAACTTGAGAACGCTGCGTTTTCATTGTTAATGCAGCGTCCCTTTCCCGTTTTGATGACAGGCTCTGCTCTCTGTCCGACTCCTGACACCAACACAAATATTATCATAGCGGGAGGAGGAAATTCTTTCATAACTTGGATGATCAAGATATTCTTGAAATCTCTCTTAATGACTTCCTGTGGAATGGGATCCAAACACAATTGCTGCTGCTGTAGTAAATGTTTCCTGTTTCACTAGTTTTGCTGCCCAGCTCCATAATTGAATTGTGTTTCGGATGAGGGC